AATCGAAGCAAGGGTGAGGGCGGGGCCCGGAGCCCCAGCTGCTCTGCTCCCGCTGAGGGAGACCCGCCCCCCAGCGGCACCTCCCCTTGCCGGGGGCGGGGCGGCAGGAGCAGGGAGAGGCGGGGGGCCCCGGGGGGGGGGGGCGGGGGCCCCCCCCCCCCCCGCCACTCCACTCCTCCGGGGCGAGAAAATCCCCGTTCGTAACTGCGGATCCGACATAAGTCGTATCCGCGTAACTCGGGGACCGTCTGTACACTGTGTCCAAAAATGCTCTACCGAGTTAAAAATTACAAAACAGTAGACCCTCACATATATTATAATTTGTGCTGTTGATTAGGCATGTCAATGCGTGGTCGACTACACGATTAACCGATAAACCTAGGCAGAGGGTGAAGGGGGTAGGCTGGAGCTGATACGCATGGGAAGCCGACTTTCAAGCCAGCTCCCTGTACATGTCATGTCCAAAAATGCTCTACCGAGTTAAAAATTACAAAACAGTAGACCCTCACATATATTATAATTTGTGCTGTTGATTAGGCATGTCAATGCGTGGTCGACTACACGATTAACCGATAAACCTAGGCAGAGGGTGAAGGGGGTAGGCTGGAGCTGATACGCATGGGAAGCCGACTTTCAAGCCAGCTCCCTGTACATGTCAGCTTCGCGGCCGTTGTGTCTGGGGCAGGCCTGGGCTGGGGCCCCCCCGTGGACAGGGGCTGCTGCCGCCCCACACTGCTGCTTCTGAATCAGGAGCAGCAGCGCAGGGTGGCAGGCAGCCGGTCTGTGTGGAAAGCTGGTTTTGAAAACAAACAGCAGTGCGGAGCTGTAGGGACTCCCCGGGAGTGGGGCCAGAACATACTGGCTGCCAGCCCCATCCTCGGGGACTACTGAATAGTTGTGCAACTGCTAATATTTTGTGTGGTTACATGACTATTCAATTACACTATATCTAACATCCCTACTGTAGATGTACTGTATTATAAGAAAAGTCAGTCTTAAGAGTAATTTTGTTTATCCAGATAGTATGGTAGTATTTATAATAAAACCATCACTGTGACAGCTGAGTGCCTCACAGAGATTGAGTACCACAGGAAATGAAAAAAATAAGTTTCAAGATGAGCTGTGAAGACAGAACTGATGAGATGAAGCAATATATGATGCTGCAGATGTCAATGACTTCAAAAAACAAAAGTGCACACACCAACAATAGCTAAGAAAGTGGGAAGGTAGAGAAAGTACATTCCCCCTTCTACTCCCATACTCCTGAAAACCTTTGGAGAAAACTTAAGGGGCATGTGGAGTTACTGCACTACAAGTTCATTCACTATAAACAGCTCTCCTCTCCAACTGACTCCTGTGTTTATAAAAACCAAGCTGATTCTCTTCATCCCACAAAAAACATTTCTTGTCCTTCTCACCTTACTATCAATTTCCAACACATTTTTCTGAATCTGACTTGATTCTCTCTCAGCTTCTCTCATCCTACCGATCTCTTCATCCTCATCTGGCTCTTGATCTTAGGATACACTCTCTGGTATTGTAAACCTAAAAAAGGTCAGGTCTTAACCCCATTTCTTTCTCCCACTATAGCCCAATTGCTTTTATCCCCTTTGCCTCTTTAAATACAGTATTTCCACTGGCTCCTCTCTCACCCTCCCCTCACCCTGACTTCCTGGCAGCCTGTTCTCTCTCCTCTCTATTGTACTCAAACTACTGTTGCTAAAGATACCAAAGACCTACTCCTAACCAAGGCTAAGAATCCATTTTCATTTTATATTCACCAACCACTTTGACCATCAATCACTCCCTGCCTTTCAGCTTCAACTCACTCATTCTATCCTGGTTTTCCCCCCCTCTCTCCAAATGCATCTTCGTCGCTCCAACACTATCCCTCAGGATTCTGCCATCTTTTCCTGCTAGGTGGTGATATCTCCCTTCATGGTTTCAGCTACTATATCCCTGTTGAAGTTTCCCAAATGTCCTCAATGACCTTTCCCCTACCATAGTGTCTTGGATTTCAGACATCTCATCTTCGATGCCCTCAACTAAATTTACGTAACAAAAACTGAACTCCTCAGCTTTCTTTTTAAGCTCCCACCTGTTCCTCAGATATATCAGTTTTTGAATTAATGTATTTGACGTAATAAACTTATAAAATTCTACAACTGGCAAAAATATGTTTTCTGGTTGGACTCAACATGCTTACAATTATTTTTCCATCACAAACAGATTTACCCCTAACCAAAAAGCTGCAATTTTGTTATTTAGCATGTTTCTTAAACATTATAATCAGAAACAGAATACTTTTTACATTTATATATGCTTATTACTCTGAAGGATCCTAAAGCACCTCACAAACTTAATGTGATATATAGACTATGATCCCTTTACCCACAAAGTTTGTGGTGGAACTTGACAAGTGCTTATCCATAGCAATAATACCAAATAGGTTAGCACAAAGTAAAGAATGCAAGTCAATTGAAACTGAAAGAGGCAAAATGTAATTATGCTATATGCAACCTGTTTAGGGTACTGAATCTGATAAAGGCTAGCACTTCCCAAACAAATATTTAATAAATTAGTAGGATCAAGATAATTTTTCTTTACTCCCTCATCCTCTAAATGGTACTTGGAACCAAATACTGCCCTCAAATGCACTCTGTTCCTATTGCAATCAGTGAGAGCTAATTAGAGCATATACTTTGGCCTTTGGCAGGACTGGCACAGAGCTCAGGAGCGACAGTATTTACTTTTGCAATGAGACTTTTATACTTATACAGAGAAGAAATTAAGGGATTCCTGGACCCCTGCACAAAAAGCAATTATTTAAAAAGAACATTAGAGGCAAATATTTAACTTTGCCCTATAGTGACAGTGAGGAGGAAAACACTGAAAAAAAACATTTAAAAACCATTTAATCAATCTACATCCAGCAGTCATGTGCACAGTAATAGCAGGGCATTTCTACAGGAGAGAGTTAAGATTATTTGGGTGTCCTAAATAACACTGGCATACCTTAATGTGTTTGGATTTTTTTTACTTGGGTTGATAATGATTATTTTACATCTGTAAATTGCTGATATACACTCAGCCTTAATTCTATAATATGTAGTTTTGTACCTGGCAAGATTTAATAATATTTTAAATTATTAATAATAGACACTTGCTTCAGTATGTATATTATTTACCTCTTACTTTTTCAAACAATCACAGCCTCCTCCATTTCTGATTCCTACTATCTACCATTGTAATTTTGACTGTTCCTCCAATCTCTTATTTTTATTTATTTTTTATAACTAAAATGTATTATTGACTTGTTTAAAAGTTAAAATTCCATTATTCAAGCTGTCTTCAGAGAAGACTTTGCTAGAAATAATAGCTGCAAGGTAAAAAGAAGGAAAGACTCTTACTTCATCGGCAAGTTTTCGGTTAAAAATCCTGGACTCTTCTAGTGGTGACCAGATTTTTATATCATAATCAATACCTGACGAGGCAAGAACTAGAAAATTAAATTTAAGAGAGTATTAGAAGAAAGTTCTAAATGAAATGCTTTTTTTCACCCACATTTCTAAGCATCTGAGCTGGAGTTTTTTGGAAGTGTTGCTGACATGCATCAATACATACATGTAGATGCACCACACTTCACTAGAAGTGCTTTAATTTTTTACCATATAACATATGTAACTCCCCATCCTGCAAACACATACATAGGAGTAATCTCATGGAGTTACAATCCTCTTTTTTCTTTGCTGGATTCCAGCTACACTCTAAATTTATGTGTCACAAAGAAAATAAATGCAAACCTTATATCCAGTCTTTTACATAGAATGCACATAATTTAAAACTAGATAGTAAATAAGCATCTGCTACTATTATTATGCTCTCTGATGATCTGAAAAGATTTAACAGGAAAGGCCTCAGAACCAGTAAAACAACGTGCAATGACAGAAGCAAACAGACCGCAAATTAATTCCACCATGTATTTTATGTAGAAATTTGAAATCTTTGATGCACTAGTTCCAAAAAACGTTAGGCACATTTAAAAATAATTTTAAAACATTTAAAAGACTAAACCACCAAAATATACTGGAATGATCTGTCATCTGGGGAGGAGAATTAGTGCATTTCACTCTGGGGAAGCAGTGAGGCTTTCAGTAGAGGTAGATGGAGGCTTGCCTCAGAGCACTTGTCAATAATAGGAAGGCTAACCCTTAATGTTCATTTTCCATGGAAAGGACAGAAGACCACACTTGATTAAAAAAAAATAAATCAGGGAACGCTGTAGGTGTACTTTGGGGGAGCTTCTAATAGAGTGAGCCATTAGTCACAAATTTCAAATATATATACGACTGGGTGCTTATCCAAATGAAGAGACCTTCCCAATTACATTTCTGATATTAGTCAGGATGAAATACTTCAAAAATACAGCTGCTTGCAGTAATATGGTACTTTCTTTTCCACAACTGGCTGACACTCAGCACCCCAGGGTTGATGGGAACATTACAGTAATTTAAACTGTTCTGTCAATGTTTCATAAACCAAAGAATGATTCAATTAGAAATATTAGCAATGTTTCAGAACTATTTTCCCCCAGGCTAGTCTGTCCATCCTCAGAACGAGTATTTCCCCTCCCCCCAAAAAGCTTAATATCAATTTATCTCACTCAATGGAACTCCTATTAATCTAATTCATTTTCCCCTCATCTATAGCTCTTCAGAACTCCCTCGCACAGAACCCGAGTCTGACACATGCTCTGCTCAAGACTCAAGTAGAACAAGCTGAAGCCAGATGCTAATATTCCTTTTCATGTTACTGTATTAGGGTGCATCTAAACAGCACCCTTCATTCAAAATAAGATACACAATTTGCATATCTTAATTCAAAACCAATTTTAAATAGCTTATTTTGAAATTTGGCATGTCTACACAGCGCCAAATTTCAAAATAATGTGCTATTTCGAGCCATCCCTTATCCCTCATGCAACGAGGTTTACTGGGATGGCAAAACAGCGAGCCTGTTATTTCGAAAAATATTTCAAAATAAGAGGTGGCTCGTGTAGATGCGGGGTAGCTATTTCGGGATACCTCCGGTATCCAGAAATATCTGTGCAGTGTAGACGTACCCTTAGATAGTGAGAGCTCTCTCACCAATGGCGTGGGAACCACTCTGTCATACTCATTGTGTGTGGTGAAAAGAGGGGAAAAGAATCCTGACCTCCTTTGGAAGTTATAGATCACCATTTTTGTTCTGACGAGTTGATGGGTATAACGGCCTTTAAGCAAACCTCACTATTACAGACAGACAGTAGCAGCATGTTGTATTTTATACAACTGAGGACATGTCTACACAGCAGCGTTATTTCAGAATAACTGATGTTATTTTGAAAAAACAAAGAGCGTGTCTACACTGCAAGGCATTATTTCAAAATAATGGCGAGATGGAAGACTTCTTACTCCAACTCCTGTAACCCATACTTCATGAGAAGCAAGGGAAGTCGAAGGAAGAGTGTTCTTTCTTCAGCTTCCTGCTGTAAAGACAGTACCAAAAGCCGAAATAAGCTATTTCAAATTCAGCTACTCAACTGATGTAGCTGAAGCTGCGTAGCTTAATTTGACTTTTGCCCTGCTCTGTAGACGTGCCCTGAGATGCAGCCCTCAGACCTCCTGGAAATTTAATAATGGGACACTTGGTTAGGCAAAGTATCGATGACTCATCTATAAAAGTTCCTGCTACAGGAACATATCAAGTGGAGATGGTCTTACTTGGGTCAAATGGATGTGGCTGTAGACAATTCACCACATGATTATCAGCTTCCAGCAGCATCAGATGCTCAGCAGTATGCCGATCCCAGATGAAGATATGGCCACAATCTGAACCACTCATTACAAAGTTAGAGCCCCAGAAATTGGCTTCCTTTATCTACAATAAAATTAATTACAAATATTTGTTATGACTTTTATGGATAATCTAGAAATAACTGATGCAGCGTATTAATTTTATAAACCATTTCCAGAGACCAAATTCCCACTTTCACAATAGCGCTGGACCTAATTTAAGGATTCTCCAAACAAAGTCATTTTTTAAAATTGAGACCTCTATGGAACCTGAGAATTAAACCCATACCTCCTCTCTCTAGCAGTTCTGATGAAATATTATCAAGAATCAGATGCTTTATCATTTTGACTGCAAGCATTGCTTCCTCTGGTATCTTGTTTGGTTCATTTTAGGATTAAGTTGGGAGTTGGAAGTTTCTAGAAACATCTGAGACTGAACAGGGGGAAGGATCGGGCACAAGCTAGGAGGCTGCCTAGTTTATGAGAAAAGATAATTAAAATTACTACAGGCGGAACCTCTAAAAATCCAGGACTCTCTGGTCTGGCAACATCCGGTGGTCTGGCAGGATCACGAATATTGTTGGACCAGAGAGCCCCGGCTGGCCAGGTTCAGAAGCACAGCCTGGGCTGGGCTGGCGGTGGGGAGCCCAGCCCCAGTGGGGCCAGTGCAATGGAGAGCACAGCCCTGGCCAGGGCTGGTAGCAAGGAGTGCAGCCCCAGTCAGGGTTGGAGGTAGTAGGGTAGGGGGCCAGGAGTGCAGCTCTGGCCAGGGCTCAGCGGGAAGAGCAGCCTCAATTGGGGCTGGTGTGGTGCAGAAGCGCAGTTCTGGACAGGGCTAGCGATAGGGAGCTCAGACCCAGCCGGGGCTGAGTCAGCTGGGCACGCAGCCAAGGCTGGTGCTGTGGGGTGGTGGAGAAGAATGCAACCCTTGCCAGGGCTGGAGTAAGTGGGGCTGGCCCCTGTGCAGGGCTGGCATGGTGAGGGATGCAGCCTGGACCAGGCCTGGCACGGTGTGTGGCTGAAGGCAGTGGCAGGCAGCAGGGAGCACAACCCCTCCTGGAAGCACAGCCTACAGCAAGGTAGGAAGCCTTGACCTCCCCTCATCTGGCAAACTCTGTTCTTCAGGACCACTCAGGTCCCGAGAGTGCTGGGCAAAGGAGATTCAACCTGTAGTAGGGTAAGGAATTGCATATAACAAGTTTCTTGGAATACTAAGCTTAGCTAGCACATTTTGGTTTAATTTGGCTTTGTAAATACAATTGTAGTACAGGCAGACCCCGGGTTACGTCAATCCAACTTAAGTCGGACCCCTAGTTACGAATGGGGGAGGAGGGCACAGCTAGTGCGGGGTGCCTCACCCACTGTCGCCGCCTCCGGCGGCATGGGGGGCGCTTCCCCCCAGCAGACCAGGGAGACGCGGAGCTGGCGCCCCCCCCCCGCAGCAGACCAGGGAGACACGGAGCGGCTTTTCTCGCCGTGGAGGACGCGGGCAGCTGGACCGCCGAGACGCACCACGGTCCCGCCGCCCGAGGCCTCCGCGGCGAGAAAAGCCGCTCCGCCGCTCCC